GTGTGTGTGTGTGTGTGTGTGGCAGGAAATGTACAAGTAAAATGATAACAAAATTTCAGTTGTGTTATGTATTATGGAGCATTACCTTATTTATCTATATTTCTGGTCATCAAAGTGTTTATGCTTCTCCAGATGGTCTATGTGATGATGGTCGCTGCAAAGATGAGCAAAACATGAAAACATTACTAAGACTGAGGGAAGAAGAAGCAGCGGCAGTGAATACTGAAAAGGAGCGGGTCAAAAGTCTTCTGCAAATGTGCCAGGACGTTCCAGAGCATGTGAAAGGTGGGTGGTGCTAGCAAACTGAGAAAAAAAGAAGCTTGCAAACTAAATTCCAAAAATGTTGAGATGCCCTGTAAAATGTAAATAAAATCAAAAAACAAAACCTATATTTTGTTTACAGTAGATATAAAACATATCAAATGTTTACACTGAGAAAGTGTACAATATTAGGAAAAATCAAAAAAAAATATTAGGAAAACAACTATTATCTCAGAGTAAAAGGTTCACAGTTTAAACCTCCCTGTTCAGTGGAAGCTTTTCTGTATGACTCTGTGGGTTTTCTCTGAGTACTCCTGCACATCAGGTGCTGTTAAGGTGGTGATGGAGCTTTTGGCCCTGTTCTAGATAAGACTGCAGAAAAAAAAAAAAGGTCTGATATCTCCTCAATGATAGAGATTTATTTTTTTTAAAAAGAATACCTCTGGGACAAATTTACCAATGGTCTACATGAACATAAAGCATTTTTTTTGTGTTATAAAGTTATTCTCAGGATTTTCCAAGGAGGCATAATGTCGGTTTTGCAATGAAAGGTGTGGGCACAGGTTCTTTTATGCCTGGAATAGAATTTAGCTTTTCAAAAGCCAAACGTTTTGAAGAACATTTAAATAAAACATGCTAACATGATTTACAAAAGAATGATTTTATTGCGTCGGATACGGCAGTGACAGTTTCCAATCGAATGTTTTATTTTGCTTGTTCATATTACTGGGAGAGGGTATGTGAGCATCCATTTGGCCTGGGATGGTTCAAGGGTGTCAATGTGGTGCCAGAGCTTCTGCTGTGTCCTGAAACTCTTTTCTAAGACCTCACCCTGAATGTTTATAGAACCAATTCATTGTTTTGGGTAAGAAGAACATATCTTAGTAGTTTTTCATTAGAAGTGTGGACATTCATTTTTTTAACACTGTAAAAATAAATAGATCCATATAGGAGCCTCTGGAAGGACCGAATTCAGGAGGAATTCTATTGATCTTAACCTCTGGGGGGTCCTAGAAAAATGCATACACTATTGGGCTTAGAGCCACAAATCGACCACGCCATGAAAAGTGCCATAAAATAAATATATATTAATATTTTTTTCCACTTTAAATTAGCCAATCTTTTAGACCTACTTCTCCTTGAAATATTCATATCAAGTTTTAATTACATTTCGCGGATTTTAACCCTTTATATCCCAGTTTCGTCACATGGCCGCACTGTTTTTTTAGCCCCAAAAAACAAAGAAATCAAATATTTCCCAAAAGATACAATTCCAAGGCCCGGACTCCCGAGTACCACCAACATTCGGAAGATGGCCCATTATTTGGTTGCAATGACCGTGGAATGGGAAATAGCGTTTATAATGGGTTTCAATGGGGCACAAATCGACCACTAGGACCAATAGTGTAAGTTTATCTGTAGCTCAGCCACTGAAGCTAATTTAAGGGAGTCAGACTGGAATTTTGAAATATATGTAAGCAGACTTTTTTTTGGAAAAGTTGGCTATATTCCGTTCAACACAGTGCAAATGGCGTGTATACGAACAATGAAAAATGGCACAAATCGACCCAAGACCACCCAGAGGTTAAAAGGCTGTTGCTACTTCATCAGCTCGAGGGTCGTCAGGTCCTGCGCGGACCAACTGTGTGGGGTGATGGAGCACCTCTTCAACCTGAGCCTGAGGTTGGGAAGAGTCCCACAGCTCTGGAAAACCTCCTGTGTGGTACCAGTGCCAAAGACTTCACGCCCCAAGGACCTCAACAGCTACAGGCCGGTGGCTCTGACATCCCACCTGATGAAGACCCTGGAGCGGTTGGTCCTGGCTCAGCTTCGGCGCCTAACAAGCTCATCACTGGACCCACTGCAGTTTGCCTACCAGCCTGGCATTGGAGCGGATGATGCCGTCATTCACCTCCTACATCGTTCCCTCGCTCACCTGGAGACCGCTGGAAGCACTGTGAGAATCATGTTCTTTGATTTCTCCAGTGCCTTCAACACTATTCTTCCCTCGGTTCTGAAGGACAAGCTGGAGAACTCTGGAGTGGACCATCACCTCACTACCTGGATTCTGGACTACCTCACCGACCGACCACAGTATGTGAGGACTCAGGGCTGTGTGTCGGACAGGGTCGTCTGCAGTACGGGGGCCCCACAGGGAACGGTTCTGGCTCCGTTCCTCTTCACCATCTACACTGCAGACTTCTCCCACAATTCCACCCAGTGCTTCCTGCAGAAGTTCTCTGATGACTCTGCAATAGTCGGCCTCATCACTGATGGGGACGACAAGGAGTACAGAGGACTGACTCAAGACTTTGTGGACTGGTGCCAGCTGAACTACCTCCAGATCAACGCCAGTAAAACCAAGGAGCTGGTGGTAGACTTCCGCAGGCACAAGCATTCCCCACTGCAACCACTGAACATCCAGGGTATGGACATTGAGGCTGTGGACAGCTACAGGTACCTTGGTGTTCATCTGAACAACAGACTGGACTGGACTCATAACTCAGACGCCCTCTACAGAAAAGGGCAGAGCAGGTTGTACCTGCTGCGGAGACTCAGGTCGTTTGGGGTGGAGGGCCCACTCCTGAAGACCTTCTATGACTCTGTGGTGGCTTCTGCTATCTTTTATGGTGTGGTCTGCTGGGGCGGCAGCATCTCTGCTGGGGACAGGAAGAGACTGAACAGGGTGATCCGAAGGGCCAGCTCTGTTCTTGGATGCCCTCTGGACCCAGTGGAGGTGGTGAGTGACAGGAGAATGGTGGCTAAGCTGTCATCCCTGTTGGACAACGTCTCCCACCCCATGCAGCAGACTGTGACAGCACTGAGCAGCTCCTTCAGTGGGAGACTGCGGCACCCACGGTGTGGGACGGAGAGATTTCGCAGGTCTTTCCTCCCCACTGCTGTCAGACTCCACAACAAAGACTTTAACTGAACAAACACACACATCCACACATGTGCAATAACACTAAGTGCAATAATCTTTTCTGGCATCGTTGTATTTTTACTCAGTTGTATATAGCATTCATATTCTATTTTTATCTCATTGTATATTTTTATTCTATTTTATTCTACTGTATATAGTATTTTATTTTATTCTATTCTGTACAGCTGTGTACTGTATTTATTCTTATTGTATTCTAATTTTTGCGTCATAACTTTTGCACTGTCCACTTCCTGCTGTGACAAAACAAATTTCCCACGTGTGGGACTAATAAAGGTTATCTTATCTTATCTTATCTTATCTTATTGAAAGAGTGAATAATGAACTCTTTGGGTCTAGAAATAATTAAACTAGGAAAGGACTGGGAAAATAATTTTTGGTGTTATATTTTCACAGTAATTTTTATGCTTACATCTTTTCCACATCTAATCCACAGTTGATTTCAATGGATTGGACAAAAAGCTTGATCAGAACACAGATACAATGAAACTGAATGAATTTATGAAGGTCCGCACTCTCGATGGACTGATCTCTCCTACATCCGTAAATGTCACTTATTTCAATCTGTGTGATACAACCTGCCAAATGGCTTCAGAACTGAATGCCATCAAAGACAGCATGATCTTCAGAACATGCTGGAAAAACCAAGTGGAGGAGCTATCAAGAGACCAATCGGATACAGATAACACTGATAGAAATGAAGAAATCTATACCCTTGACCAGGTCTACAACAAAATATTTCAGAGCTGCTACAACAATTACAAAAAGCTTTATGATAGTCTAAAGAGTGGAGAACTTCTATTGGAAGAAATTGACAACATCTTTGAAGGCTATAAAGGAAAGTGTGAAGACTTGAAAAAGGACTTAGCTATCATGTGCAGAGTAGACACATCTGATAACAGAACATGGATCAAAGAAAGGGTTAACCAAATTCAGCAATACCAGGATGTTCATCTAGCAGTTGAATCTTCCAAAATCATTGAGGACATCAAAAGCATGCTATGTCCAGAAGGGGACTTCAGTGTACTGGAGAGGTTGCTGCAAATGGTATGTTTAAAATTACTTAATATTATTAAAAACAAGGTAATTGAAAGAAACTCTAGCCCTTACCTGCAAAATATTCACATTTGACTTACTTTTGACTCCTTTGATGGATGAATCCAGTCATGTTCAGCTGAAGAAAATATATTCTTGATATATATTATATAATTGAGTTATTAAGATAAATTATCATCCATTAGTGATCATGTTGAACAACAGACACTGTTAAAAATCATTTTGATCTTGTTCTCAGATGTAAAATATTCTAAAAGAATGACAGACATGAAATGTGTGTGATCTAAACAACCATCATAAAACATTTATTTGGGGGTATAAATACTCTTCTATAAAATACATTTTTGTGGGATTTAATATCATTGTATATTTTTCAGAATGACTCCAGCTTCAAGAAAAACAACCTGAACTGCATTGATGATGCTTTCATAAATGCAAAAAATATTCTTAAAGGCATTACAGACAGTCGCAAGGAATGTCTTCAAAAATTCCTCCAGAGTAAAGATTTTATCCAGTGGATTAAAAAAGAACTTAAAGGTATAAAATATTCTATTTTTTTATCATTAACAATTACATATAGAATTTCATAACAACTAAAGAATACTTGTAACTGCAGATATCAATGAGCTGAAAGTTTTTGTTGACCTGGCATCAATCTCTGCTGGAGAAAATGACATGGATGTCGATCGAGTGGCCTGCTTTCATGATGCTGTCCTTGGTTTCTCGTCCATGCTGTATGACCTGAAGCAGGATTCTGATTTTCAGAAATTCAATGAGTCACTTGCAAAATTGTGGAAGGCACTTGATAATGACAAAGATATACCCAAGAAGCTGGTAAGACCTTCCTTTATGAAATATAACTAACATCACTGCTATTAATGGATAGAAGTACTAACATTAAGAATATGTCCTGATTTATCACTGAAGCTGTTAAAAAATTAAAAACCTTGCTTCTTTTAAATATCATAGGGTATTTAAAAGATATTTCTTAATATAGATATTACTGATACTAATCTATATTAACAATATAATCAGTAGTCTGAGGTTGGATTTAGTTAAGGAACGGTCTGACTACTGTGGATGAATTTTGCTATATGGGCTGTGAAGGTTCTCAGTCATCCAGGTCATCGTGGTCTAAGGAACTTGGAAAGAAAAGCATCTGGACTTCTTTAAGTTGCTTGAAGACATGTCACCGCTCATCCAAGACGCTTCTTCAGTTCTAAGGTCAATTGGTGGAGAGTCCCAGATTTAGCTCCTAGGGGAGTGTCCTTCAAGAGGGACATAGACCCCTATCCTTGAAAGAGTGACCTTTGTCCTTTAGATGTAGACAGAAAGCCAAGTCTTGTCCTGTAGAGGTGGCTCTTCAATGTTGTGCCATGCGTTTATGACGTGGTTGTTTGGTCACTCCAATGTAGAGGTCTGAGCATTCCTCATTACACTGTACAGCATACACTACATTATTAAGTTTGTGTTGAGGAGTTTTGTCTTTGAGATGAACCTGGTTTTTTTTTTCTGAGTTTGTGGCTGGGTCTGAAGTACACTGGGATGTCATGCTTGGAAAAGACTCCCCTGAGTTTTTCTGATAAACCAGCTGCATAGGGGATGACAACATTGTTGCTTTGTCTTTCTGATCTTCCCTAGATTGTGTCTGACCTTCTTTTCTGTGCATCTTTGCTGACTTGATGAGTCAGCAAAGATCACATGTTTTAAGGGCTTCCTTTACTAATAATAATGATAATGTATACTTTATTGATCCCCTTGGGGAAATTATTCTCTCTGCATTTAACCCATTCACTCAGTAAAGCAGTGGGCAGCTGCAAATCAGGCGCCCGGAGAGCAGTGTGTAGGGACGGTACCTTGCTCAGGGGTACCTCAGGGTAGCTGTTCAGTGGATTTGAACCCCCGACCTTCCGATTATGGGCCGGAACTACTGAGCTATCCCTGCCATGTGTGTGTTGGAGGGCTTAGAGGGAACATTTTATGCCCGGTGTTGTAAGGTCCTGATTACTCCAAGTTTGTGTTCCAGAAGGTGGTGGGAGTCAAAGAGGAGGTGCTGGTCCAATGACATCTAGGTCAAAATCGAAACCCAAGAAGTAGAATCCTTTAATGCTCACATCAATGCTGTAGATAAAAACATAAAGCTCACCAGGGAAGACACAAAGGATAACTGTTTGCCATTCCTGGACTGTGCTGTGCGCATTGAAGGGAATGGAAACCGTTGAACGTTGAAGTTGAGGTTTCCATCGGACCAGCACCTCCTCTTTGACTCCCACTACCCTCTGGAACACAAACTTGGAGTAATCAGGACCCTACAACACCAGGCAGAAAATGTTCCCTCTAATCCCTGAAGGGTAAAGGAAGGAACACACACATTAAGGAAGCTCTTAAAACATGTGATTATCCTAATTGGGCTCTCATCAAGTCAGCATAGAAAAGAAGATCAGACACCAACTAGGGAAGATCAGAAAGACAAACGCAACAATGTTGTCATCCTCTATGTAGCCGGTTTATCAGAAAAACTCAGGAGAGTCTTCTCCAAGCAGGACATATCAGTGTACTTCAGACCAGCTCACAAACAGAAACTGGTTCAGATGGTTTGGAAGAGCACTGATAGAAGCCATCTATGTCCACTGTGAACAACCATCTTTGAACAGAGGCGGTGGTTTACGACACCAACTGTCTGCTCTCTATGATACAGTTTTGAGATCCCTTCCCAGATGCCTTAATGCCCACTCACATCCTTGGCCTTGTGACGTACAGAAATCACATGATAGGGTGGGGCTACGTTGCACAGTGGGTTCACCCAAAACCTTGGCTGATTGTGACCCACACCCATTTTCACATCTTGGCTTGTGTGATTAGGTAGAGGATCAAACGGGGGTCCATTGTCCCTCTTGGGGGGATACTCCCATAGGGCTCAAATCTCAGGCTCTTCGCCAAGTGACCTTAGAACTGAAGAAGCTTCTCAGATAAGATGTGAAACGTCTTCAAGCAACTTAAAGAAGTCCAGACACTTTTCTTTCCGAGCTCCTTAGACTTTTCTATATGGGCTTAATATTACAGATTTGTAATATTAAAAGATTTGTTGATCAAATATGGTAGATCTTTACAAAGTTGATGCAATATCCATGATTTATTGCTTTATAAATTTTTTAGATGTGAAATAAATGAACTTAGTAAGTACATTTATTTATTTATTTATAGAGTGACTTTCAAAAAATCAAAAGGCATCTCTCTGTAAATAAAACCAACAGTGCAAAAAAACATTAGACCAGGAATAAAATGACACCAAAAAAGTGAAAAAATCATAGCCTGACTGTCAATTTAAAAGGATACATTTTGAGCTGCTTTTTGAAAGAGTCCACTGAATTTACAGATTGCAAAGTGGATTGTGGAAAACACGGAATTCTCTCCTCAATCTTAAAAAAAGATTATTCCTTTTTAAAATGCTTGTGAGTAAAGTAGCGGGACCAGGCGGTTTATGTGCTGAGTTTTATAGAGAATCCCGAGAAATTTTAGCTGGCCCGTTGTTGAACATGTACAATGACTTCTTTAAAAAGGGTCTCTTGCCCAATTCTTTAAGCCAATATATCCCTTATACTTAAAAAAGGTAAGCTATCTGAAGATTGTGCCTCCTACAGGCCAATCTCTTTGTTGAATGTGGATCTGAAAATCCTCTCCAAGATATTAGAAAAACATCTAGAACTTTTACTCCCCTTGCTAATTAAAAAGGACCAAAGGGGTTTCATTAAAGGGCACAACTCATATAATAACATGCGTATGTTGTTGAATATGATCCAGTTCTTCCAACAAAAGTCTCTACTTGGTTTGGTGATCTTCCTTGATGCCCAGAAGGCATTTGTCAGTGTTGAATGGTCTCACCTGTTTTTTACACACTAGTTTCAGTGGAAATGTTATAAACTGGATTAAGTTACTTTATAACAATCCCTGCTCTGCAGTTCTCACAAACTGGGGTGCGGTCCTCCAACTTCCAGATACTGAAGGGAACTAGACAAGGCTGTCCCCTCTCCCCTTTGCTCCTTGCCTTGACCATAGAGGCAGATGCAGTACGAGCTCAAGTAGACATACTCAGGCAGACATACATGGTGTATCCATAGGACAAAGACAGCATAAGATTACTTTGTATGCTGATGATGTACTTGTTGTGTTGACTCGGCTGGAAACATCAATCCCCTCTGTGGTTGAAACTGTTAATAAATTTAGCAAGATCTCAGGCTATAAAATTAATTTCAATAAATCAGAGATGATGCTTCTGGACAGTCTGAGACAAAGACCACGGGTCCCTTCTGCATTTCCCTTCACTTGGTCCTGACAGGGCTTTACGTATCTGGGAATTAGGGTCACACCTGCTTTTAACCAGATAAATAAAAGTAATTTTACGCCCCTATTTGAGCAGTTCAATTTAGATTTGGAGAGATGGAAGTCCTTACCTCTATCCTGGCTCGGTCATATCGCTCTTCTGAAAATAAACATTCTACACAGGCTACTTTACCCAATACAGATGGTTCCAACCCTTATCCCACCAAAAACTATTCAAACTCTAAATGGCTGGTTTACCTCCTTTGTTTGGGCAGGGAAGAAACTTTGTCTTAAAATATCCACGTTATGTCTTCCATCCTCAAAGCGGGCCTTGATTTAGTATCAGCTAAGTATCAGCTGAGCACCCATATGCGTATAGCTGCCGATTGGGTACAACAGCCTGCTCCTGTCTGGTTGGATATCGAGAGCTCTTTGTCCAACTTACCTTTGAAAAATTTGCTTTTTGTGGGAAAACCGAAGACCTTAGGGATGTTCTGTTCTGGATCTACTGTTAGAGCTTGGCAAATGGTTCAAAACCTAGAAGGAAAGTCTCACTTAACATCTCTTTTCACCCCCTTATCCGACTATCCTCTCTTTCTGCCTGGGACCACTAACCCTGGCTTTCGGAACTGGGCTACGAATGTTTTTTTTCTCCTTCTTCTGACTTAATGCCCAGGTCGAAGCTTATGTAAATACAACATTCATAGGTACGACTTCTTTAGATATTTACAAGTGAGGGACCATATCCAAAGGGCTACAACAATGCGTAATAATCAAACCCTCTCGAACTGTGAAAAGCCAAAACCTTATTTCAGCCAAACCTCAGAACTTTTATAAAAAAAATTATGGCCTGTTAACAGAGTTTGGGGTCATGGACACAACTTATTTGAAGAGGACTTGGGAAAAGGAATTGCATATTGAGATTAGTGACGAGCATCTGTAATAAAGTAAAGGCAAGCCAAATTAAAATTCTACACATAGCTCACATATCACCTTCTCAACACCATAAATACAATTCAGACCTTTCTCCGCTGTGCCCTAAAAGTAAAATAGAGGTGGGCAACCTCACGCACTGTCTATGGTCCTGCCAGAAAATACAATTTTGGTTTGTCATAAAGCATGAACTGGATAAGATCTTCACCACTGACACTGAATGCAATCCATTCTGTATGCTACTCGGAGTGGCGAATGACCAAATCAGGGGGAAGTTTGGAAAGCAGTTCTATGGGCTGTTAACTTTCTGTGCAAGGAAATGTGTCCTTTTGAACTGGATCACGAACACGACCCCATCTAAGACTCAGTGGCACCGGACTGTACTGGAGTATGTGTCACTAGATTTCCTAAGATGCAAGTTACATAGTAAGGACAAGAAGTTTCATAAAATATGGGACCCATTTGTGGCGTGTGCCGGCTTGGATATTTCTGCTATTTTCTCACGGTCCCTGGTACAATACAAGCATGTCACTGCTATTTTACATATGAGCAGTGTTGGTTCAAGTTACTTGAAAAAAGTAATCAGTAACTAATTACCGATTACTTCCCCAAAAAAGTAATCCAGTTACTTTACTGATTACTTATTTTCAAAAGTAATTAATTACTTAGTTACT